TGGACCATCTCTAACACCTCTCTCCCCTTCCTGGACCTCTCTGTCTCCATATCGGCCAACCACCTAGAAACCGATATTCATTTCAAGCCCACCGACTCCCACAGCTACCTAAAATACTCCTCCTCCCACCCACCTTCCTGCAAAAATGCTATCCCCCATTCCCAATTCCTTCGCCTCCGCCACATCTGCTCCCAGGATGAGGCATTCCACTCCCGTATATCTCATTGTCCTCGTTTTTCAAGGACCGTAACTTCCCCCCCTTGGTGGTCAAGAACGCCCTCAACTGTGTCTCCCACATCTCCCGCACCTCATCCCTCACACCCCGTCCACGCAATAAGAACCAAAAAAGAATCCCCCTCGTCCTCACGTACCACCCCACCAACCTCCGGATCCAACGCATCATCCTCCGACACTTCCGCCATCTGCAATCCGACCCCACCACCAAAGACATCTTTCACTCCCCACCCTTATCTGCTTTCCGGAGGGACAACTCTCTCCGTGACTCCCTTGTCCGCTCCACACTCCCCTCCAGCTCCACCACACCCGGCACTTTTCCCTGCAACCGCAGGAAGTGCTACACCTGCCCCCATACCTCCTCCCTCACCCCCATCCCAGGCCCCAAGAAGACTTTCCACATCAAGCAGATGTTCACCTGCACATCTGCCAATGTGGTATACTGCATCCGCTGTACCCGGTGTGGCTTCCTCTACATCGGGGAAACCAAGCGGAGGCTTGGGGACCGCTTTGCAGAACACCTACGCTCGGTTCGCAATAAACAACTGTACCTCCCAGTCACGAACCATTTCAACTCCCCCTCCCATTCCTCAGACGACATGTCCATCCTGGGCCTCCTGCAGTGCCACAACGATGCCACCCGAAGGTTGCAGGAACAGCAACTCATATTCCGCTTGGGAACCCTGCAGCCCAATGGTATCAATGTGGATTTCACAAGTTTCAAAATCTCCCCTCCCCCTACCGCATCCCAAAACCAGTCCAGCTCGTCCCTGCCTCCCCAACCTGTTCTTCCTCCCACCTATCCCCTCCTCCCACCTCAAGCCGCACCTCCATCTCCTACCGACTAACCTCATCCTGCCCCCTTGACCTGTCCGTCCTCCCTGGACTGACCTATCCCCTCCCTAACTCCCCACCTACACTCACCTTTACTGGCTCCATCCCCGCCTCTTCGAACTGTCTGTCTCCTCTCCACCTATCTTCTCCTCTATCCATCTTCTATCCGCCTCCCACTCTCTCCCTATTTATTTCAGAACCCCCTTCCCCTCCCCCTTTTCTGATGAAGGGTCTAGGCCCGAAACGTCAGCCTCTCTGCTCCTATGATGCTGCTTGGCCTGCTGTGTTCATCCAGCCCTGCACCTTGTTCCTAATTATCGAACTGCTTTTTACAGAGATATGCAAAGAACCAAATGTGCTATAAATGCTTGTTTAACTTTAGTAGAGAGTTGCAAGTTACCATTGGAGTAATATTTAATGAGCTCTTAACAGAAAAGGTCCTAATAAAAGGTAATGTCCAACAAGACCATAGATCAGTGCTCTCATTAGAGACAGAGAGAGATATGACTGATGATGGTCACCACACCTCATGTGAGAGGTTGAGAAGGACAGTCTTTCATGTTAACCTCAGCCAATGGGCAGAAATTGATCCCATGCTGTTGGCATCACTCTGCATTGCAAACCAACTGACCCCTGGTACAAATAAGGGTTGAGGAATGAGTGGTATTAACAGTGGTCCGAATTATACTGCATTTACGTTTACTAATGTTCAACTAGATTGGGTAGACACATTGACATGCAACCTATTCATTGGGTTTTGTTCTTCTTACACTAATTAAGTCACCAGAATGATAGTTAATTTCGTAACCTCCTAACATGATTTGGAGGAAAAAAGGGATGAAATGTACCTTCCTCATAGTTCTCAGAGCTACTTTGCAGATGAGAAGAATTCCAACTGGAAAATAGGTTACTGGATAAAATCCTCTGTATTCAGCCCAAGTTCCTTGAGATGATGGCATGTCCTTCTATTTGTGGCAGGAAGGCCTCCGACATGCTACAGTTGTAGTGTTGTGATGAGGTCAGCCAGGTGGACCTCACAGAATATGAGTTCCCTGATTGGGGCTGTTAATCTTGTCCGATTAGAGAGCCCTGGCTGACAGATATAAATGGGAGTGTCACAGGTTCTGTTCACTCTGAGAGCTGGGTCTGAGGAAGCCAGACTAGTGTCAAGTTCTATGCGCGTGTAAATAAAGGCTGAGTTGGTGATGGGATACCGGTCTCTGTGGAGTTATCTCAACGGTGATAAAAATTGGTAACTTGGGCCATACAATGGGATGATCTTTGGAGGCTTTGTGGAACAGTTCCGTTCAGTCTGCAAACCTTTTCCAGTTCTGCTGAAAGATCGTTGACCTGAAAAGTTAACGCTGTTTATCTCCCTCCACAAGATGCTGTCAGGCCTGCTGAGAATTTTCAGCATTTTCTGTTTTTACTTCAGATTCAAGGGAGCTAACTTGATAAAGACCCAAATGGCTACTGAATACTTTAGTAGGTAACAGCATGGAGGAGAGATCAGGGGAAATTTTCTGCATATACCCGCAGCCATGGAAAGGATAATCTAATTGAGACTTACAGCTCCTCTAAAAGTGCAGTTTCCTCCGTCTAAAGACTGGGCTGTCAGCTGTGTTTAGGATGCAGGGAAATGTTCATGGAGGTTAATAAGAGGAATTGTGACAGGGAGAGTGCTATCAAATTGCTTCTTAAACTCATTTATACACTTCACTTCAATGGCTTTTCCTAGTAAGTGTTCAACAATAACCATTTAATGTAAAACAATTCCTCCTGCATGTTAGAGCACTGATTTTATCAATGCAGTTCATGAATGGGAGCCTTGCTTGCATGGAGTGGAGATTAACGAGACAGAAAATCTCAAGGAATTTGCCTGCAATTTCTCAATATGTCTTCTTGATAGACAAATCTCCCTGTTGGGACCCAGTGCTTAGACTGGTGTTAACAAAGAGTCTTAATGGGACTTCTAAGTTTTGTTTGTTTTTCTGGGCATCACAGACTTTAACCCAAACACCAAAAAATTAAATATTAAAGATTAAATCGAAATATCTTATCACATCTTATAATAGAACAACATTTTCCACAGCAGCCAAAGACAGAATTGAATGAAAAGACGTAAACTTTTAATTATTGCCTAAAATGTGGTTTAACCAAACATCATTGAAAATAATGTATACTTCTATTGTACCTCCTGAGCAAGACACCTCCATCCTGTATGAGTGGCTTGTAGAAATCATATGCATTAAAATAACGATACTTCAATTTACAGTGTAAAAATGCAACATTAATAGTTAGCAATATCTGACCCAATGTTTACAAACTGCCACAACATCTAAAAACTTAAGACTATCTTTGATAAATTGCAACTGTTAATTTCCATTCGTGATTTATCATCGACTTTTTTTTATGTTAAGCAAGCGAAATTTTGACTTGTACATTTTTGCTAAACTAACATAATCGTGTAATATTTTGCATGCCAAAATGATGACTTCTTAAAATTTTTTTTTATATATATATGTAAAAGGAAGACGACACCCACCGTATCCTATTGTGGGCAAACCCAAGTGCTTCATTCTGTTTTTCACCAGTTCTGATAGCTCTTGCCTTTCTGATCGATGATATAGGTCTTGTCTCTGTTGGTTGATCTTTTCATCTGTTTTACTAGTCTGCCTGTTCCCTTTCCTACTCAGTCTGCGCGCCCACTGCCTGCTCTTGCGTCTCAGCAATGGGTGCTCTGATTGGTCGCTTGAAGTGGAGTTCCGATGACACTTGCCAGCCCAAGGGTCTTTCACGTCTTTAACGTCTTCCCCATCCTCAACGTTGATTGAGATCTGAGACTGAGAGAAAGAAGATGTGTAAAAAAAAAGAAGACAGGTAACTCCCTAATCTGTCACGTAGTTACACAAATCTCACATACCTAATTTAGCTGTGTAAATGACTAAAACCGACCGAATTTTGGAAATCAACACAAAATTGCCTTGCTGTTGCAAAAGTGCACATTAAATACATTTGCAAAGAAAACGTAGTCATCAGAACTTTCTCTGAGCCTTTCACAACAGTTCATTGTTTTCTGCCTTCTTTCCCAAAGAGTTGCACCATTGGATTGATCCATGCTAATGAACAAAACGGTTTGCCATCGGTTTTGGCAGGGTATCCATAGAATCCCTACAGTGTGGAAACAGGCCCTTCGGCCCAACAATTCCACACTGACCCTCAGACATCCCACCCAGACCCATCCCCCTATAACCCACTTAATCTACACATCCCTGGACACTATGGGGCAATTTAGCATGGCCAATCCACCTAGCCTGCACATCTTTGGGCTGTGGGAGGAAACCGGAGCACCCGGAGGAAACTCACGCAGACACGGGGAGAAGGTGCAAACTCCATGCAGACAGTCACCTGGAGGTGGAATCGAACTCGGGTCACTGGAGCTGTGAGGCAGCAGTGCTAACCACTGAGCCACCATGCCGACACCCTTGGGGTTGTAATATTCCTTAATAAATCCATCAACTATTGAAAGGTTTTAGCAATTGATGCCTCAGGGAATGTTAGGCTCCTAATAACAGAAAGAAGCTATGGGCCACAAGCTGTCAGGGTAGTTGACCAGGAAACTCCCTCACTCTTACTGTCTGACGTTAGACCTATAGGTTGACAAGCAACCAGTTTGGCCATATTACAAAACACCTCCTGCAGCCAACAGGGTCCTAGTTTAAGATTTGAACCCAAAGTTTCTAGTTCAGAGCCAGGGGTTTTACTCAAGTCCAACAAGACTTCCACTAGTTTGTTAATAAAGATATTGACAATTGTTGAGCCCCACCATTTCCTCTCCTATGCCAAGAAAACATACGAATATACACCAGAGGAAGAGTGCATAACTTAGTAGATTTGACCAACATTGCACAATGACATTCAGTGGTAGGATGTGCACACAGAGGTCTCATCACAGCGATGTAATCAATCAGAGTTGCCAACCATGATCTTGTGTCGTGCACACATGTGGGCAGAAAGAATTGGAGCGGAAGTCACACTACATCCTCCCAATCACCTTATAATGACCAATTTGTAGAGTATTGTTGAACAGGTCTTGACTAAGGTGCCATCCCTTTATCTCTGGTGAGGAATGCATATAAGTTAGAAAAAAATGCATCTACATTGCACCTTTCATGGCGTCAGGGCATTCCAAAGCAGGTTACAGCCAAGGAAATATGTTTGTGGAGCGGTCACTGTTGTAAAATGGAAAATGGGGCTGTCAGTGTCCGCACAGAGAGATCCCACAAACAGCAAAATGATAATAACCAGGTAATGCAGTGTTCAATTCTTGTCTCCCAGCTTTAGGAAGGATGTTGTGAAACTTGAAAGGGTTCAGAAAAGGTTTACAACGATGTTGCCAGGGTTGGAGGGTTTGAGCTATAGGGAGAGGCTGAATAGGCTGGGGCTATTTTCCCTGGAGCGTCAGAGGCTGAGGGGGGACCTGAGGGCTGGCAAATGGGATTAGATTAATTTGGATATCTGGACAGCATGGACAAGTTGCACCGAAGGGTCTGTTTCCATGGTGCACTGTTCTATGACTCTATGAGTCTAATCTACTTTAGTGATGTTAGTTGAGGCACTAAGAGATTGGACAAAGAGCAAAATGAGAATGGGCCCCCACCTCAGATGTGGAAAACATGTGTGACTCTGTTCTGTAAATCCCGATCGGAATTTCCGCACTGGAAGAACATAGCTTCTGAAAGAGTCGGCCGTATGTTCGGATCCACAAGTCATCTTCTGTGATCTTCATCTAAGAAAAAAAGGCAAGCCATATTATGAGTGAGGTGGGAAAGTATATCAGTAAAGGATAGAAAGCATTATAGACCACAAATTACTGGGAACAGACTCTCAAGCCCCAGTAATCTCAGGGGTTAATAGATTTCAAAGTAGTAAGTTCCTTGAGCGCCATGTCAAGAACTGTTTAGGAAAACAAATATCTGTTGGAATGTGCGTTAAATACTGGGTTAGGAGGAGGTTTTTCTTGGCAAAATTGTTTGTCTTTGGGAAAGTTCGTGCTCTAATTGTATATTTAACTGATAGAAACCATCAACAGCTAACCAGCAATTTGATTTATTTATGGCTAAGAGTCCAAATGTCAGGGAAGATGAATCATGAGCAAAGCAGTTAAGGAGAAGGTGGAAAGTTAGGATATAATTTTTAATTGTGGAGCCCTCGAGCTCGGATGGTCAGTGTAGTGGACATTATGAAAGAGTTCAAGAGACAATTGTAAAGATAATTCTAATTTAAGACGATTAACTTGAAATGATAAGTGCGATTATCTCTCTCCATGGATGCTCTGAACTGCTGAGAATTTCCGGTTTTAATTTCTGACTCCTAAAATCTTCTTTTATGCTGGAGAGATAAGCTCAATATGATGAGAGAGCAGGGTTAATAATCCTAAAAGGGATGGACTTTGCACCAGTTAGAAACAACTGAGTGATTTACTTTGCCATTTCAGAGTACAGTGAAAGTCAACAACATTGCTGTGGATCTGGAGTCACATGTAGGCCGAACCAGGTAAGGATGACATTAGGGAACCTGATGGGTATTTACAACAGTGACAACTACCACTGGACAAGTGTTTAATTCCTGATTTACTACAATTAAATCCTTACCACTTGTTGAGGTGCAATTTGAGGCCATACCCCCAAAGCATTAACCACAGCCTCAGAATTACAAGCCTAATAGGATTACCACTAGGCCACGATCTGCTGTACATTCCCTTCCAAGCTGCACACCACCCTGACTCGGAACTATATCATTGTTGCTGGGTCAAAATGCTGGAACTCCTACCTAACAGCACTGTGGGTGTATTTTGGAATGAGCAATAAATACTGGCCTATCCAGTGACATCCAAAATCCATTACAGTGATGAAAGATATGAAATAACCTTTTTAAAAAAGGGCTTGTTTGCTCCTCTTGAAAAGTTATTATAAAGTATGATTCATATATTTATTAAATTACACACACATATATCTATATATATATGAAGGTCCTAAATACAATAAAACCCCCCATTATTCAATCCTTTTACGTAAATATTGCATTTGGGTACTGCTTTGTTCTGCTAATTACTTTTTCTGAGTTTTCTGACAGGCATTGTTCCCTTGCAACTCGTTCACCTTCTCCTATTTAGATGTTCCCCGTTGAGTCAGCACCCTTATGTTTGCAAGCCTGTGCCTTAACAAAGCCAATTGAGACATCAGCAAAACGGTTTCAGGCCTCCAGGCACTCACAGCTCAGGGCTGCTTGTCTCAGCACCATATGGCAATATACGTAGGAGGATCCCACCTGAAGTAGTTCTTTAATAACAGAATGTCGAATCTTGCAAGGAATAGATCATTCAGTAGTAAGTGAGATAACAAGGTGTAGAGCTGGATGAACACAGCAGGTCAAGCAGCATCAGAGGAGCAGGAAAGCTGATGTTTCGGGTCTAGATTTCAGCAGACCCTTCTTTTTTTTTCTGAAGAAGGGTCTAGACCCAAAACGTCAGCCTTCCTGCTCCTCTGATGCTGCTTAGCCTGTTGTGTTCATCCAGCTCTACACCTTGTTATCTCAGATTCTCCAGCATCTGCAGTTACTACTATCCCATTCAGTAGTAAGTGCCTGTATTACAGAATGGCTTAGCACGATGAATAGTCATTTGACCATTTGAGCCCATGCTGGCCCTCTGTAAGACCCACTCCACTACTCTTCCTTACAGCCCTGCAAATCTTCCCTCTTCATGAGTCTATCCAGTTTCTCTTTACAAAGCCCCGATTGTATCAACACCTTTCCAAGCAGTGCATTCCAGATCCTAACCACTTGCTGCCCCAAAGAAGGGCCTTTCTCAAGTCTTCAGTCAGTGTCTCCCTGCTTTCAACCCATCCAGACAGAGAGAGAGAGAGAGAGAGAGAGAAAGCAAGCAAGCAACTGAACAGTATTTTAAAACACAGTGAAAGGAATTGCCCAGCTTGTACACAATAACACTTTAGAAATGACGAATATTTCATTTTATCTTCATCCCTGCAAACAAGGTAACAAAACAAAGTACATTTATCAACACCAAACTTTAACTTTCAGAAGGTATGTGGGTGTTTCAAGTACTTACAGCACAAAGGTAACCAGAGCCTGGCGTAGTGTCAAGTCCCAGTAATAACCGGGCGATTGGGATCATGTAATCTTTAACAAAGGACTAGAGAGGAAAATAGGAAAGATTAAACAATTGTCACCCTTTATAAGCACCAGCCACATCAGGTAAACATAGTTGTGATCACTTTAGCATTGCCCACCTCAATCAACCTGATCAACTTGAACAATTTCCATTCTCTGTCAATACTAAAATGCCCAAGTGGTGTCAGAAGCTGGGAATTCTTCATTCAAACAGGCAGCACAGCAAGGGACCATTCGCCCCACGATGCTTATGCTGTCTCTTTGGGAACCATGATACAATTTGCCCCACCTGTCTGATCTTTTCAGGTCTACATTCATTTCTGTATGGAAAGTTATTGAAATTGCAGGTTTATCTTGTGCTTGAAGCTATCTGCACATTGAGATACTGGTTTGGAGTATTTCAGGCTGTGCGTATCTGCATATTTGCTGTCTCCAAGGCTGGTGGCTCCTAATCACTGGATAAGGCTGTTTAACTCCTTATGTACAGTGACTCTCCTTTATCTACATCTGTATTCAGTAGTTTACCACATACAGCTGTCCAGTGTTAATATCTAAGTCCTCTCCCTTCACATGCTCGTTCTAGGCTGGTGTTTGCTCTCTTCCAGATGTCAGGGCCCATGATTTACAAGAATCTGGTTATACATTTGCCTCCACCATTCTTTCAGGCTTACATGAATAGAACTTGTTGCTGAGAAAACAAAATATTCTCCTCATTGAACCCCTCTCCATTCCCAATTATTATGACATCCACATCCTCTGGTGTCTGATCCTACTGCCAGTCAGCGGAGTCTGTTAAATATCTCTTTAACATTCCCTGTTCTAAAGAGAACAGCCCCAGTTTTTTGAGTTACTCCATATAACTGAAACCTGGGAGAACTTGCAAGCGTGCCGCTTAGTCCATTACAACTCTCATCAATGTTCGATTTCTGCAGATAGCGAACCCTCGCTTGTAGCCTGTATGCCAGCGAACATGTTCATTTTTGTCTGTACATCACCATCTAATAGGTTACAATGTAAAAGACAGTAATATTCAGTGAGCATGCTACACACCTGGTACAATAGTGTGTCTAACATGCTGATACTGAACACTCTTCCAGCAGCGAACGGGAGTCGGAACATGAATGCCAAATTTGAGCCTTTCTCACGTTCCTTCTGTAAGGTGGAAAAAAACATGAAACGAAATGGAGACACAGCATGTACATACACTGCACCTACTTCAATTCAATAAAATAGGTGATAGCCAATCATTGGTTCATCCCTCAAGGCAATACTTTGACCAATCAAATTCAACCTGCCTGGTTTAAAATGTAAACAGAGATTCACAGAATTGTTACAGCACAGGATTTGACCATCTGGCCCATTATGACTATTCAATTCTATTACCTACGACCTGCCTTTTCCCCACAACCAAATAATCCTCCAATGCCCTTGTGAATGCTTCAAATGAACCTACCTCTGCCATAATTCCAGGCAGTGCATTCCAGACCCCAAATACATGCTGTGTGAAAAAAAACTTTTCTCACATCACCCCATTTGCGCATCACTTTAAGTACATAAGAACATAAGAACTAGGAGCAGGAGTAGGCCGTCTGGCCCTTCGAGCCTGCTCCGCCATTCAATAAGATCATGGCTGATCTTTTCGTGGACTCAGATCCACTTACCCGCGTTCTCACCGTATCCCTTAATTCCTTTATTGTTCAAAAAAAATCTACCTTTTGTTTAAAAACGTTTACTGAAGTAGCGTCAACTACTTCACTGGGCAAGGAATTCCACAGATTAACAACCCTCTGGGTGAAGAAATTCCTTCTCAATTCAGTCCTAAATCTGCTCCCTCTAATCTTGAGGCTATGCCCTCTTGTCCTAGCTTCACCTGCCAGTGGAAACATCCTCTCTATATGCTCCCTTGTTCTTTTTTCTTTTATGAGTGGGAACAACATCTTCCAATCTACTCTACCAGCCTGCTCATGCTTTTGGAACCCACTATCAAATCTCCTCCCAGCCTTATTTCTTTCAATGGTGAACAGTCCCAGCTTGTCAGTTAAGTGTCAATCATCATTAACAGGTGCAATTTCCTTGGCAGCACCTCTACTAAACACTTGCCAACTAATCAGCTCTTTCCTCCCAGAAAATACAAATGTGACTCTCCATTAAAACGGATATTCTTGTGAACTGTCCTGATGAGTGCAAGACAAAATGCTTCAGCAAAATTTGTCATTTTCTCGGCAATATTCGGGGAATATAATTGTTGATTAAGTATTGAGATAGTGCAGGTAACATCCGTTCATCAACCAGAAAACCTGCTAGGGCAGCAGAGTAAGGTTATTGCAACTGGTTGCTGTACAGCAGAAATGCCTCTTTCTAGTGGTTACAACCCATGCGTGAACTACCATGTGGGAAAACCATGAACACAGTGCTTGTGATATTCAGCCCATTGAGATTCATAAATACTTAAGGGCAGAGCTTTCACCTTGAACTACCCCAACCTATACTCCATGCTTGGTTCATCCTCTTGTGTAGAATGTGGGAAAACCTGTAAGGGAAAGAGTCTCAAACTGAGCTCTCAAAATCATCAGATCAGCACCTTGAGAATTTTTTTACATTCTTCTGTATTTACACATTTGCTCTCAAATTATTGTTGTTGCTGCCTACAAATAAAATATTATGGTATGGATTTCCTCTGAGCAGTGACATTGCCTATAAAAACCTGCTACAGGAAGTCCCACCATCATGTCAGTATTTTCAGAAAATGCCTGATAATCCATTAATATTTTAGCTGTTTTCTGGAATTCCTTTCAATTTTCCACACGGAACAAAATATTATGACATCAAAGGAGACTGCTACATCTATCATTTCAATTTGGATAAAAATCTCTCAATACCAGGCAGAGCTGGTCTTTAAACATTGGCCCAAGGACAGTGCTTTTGTAATCTGTATGAAGAGTGTAGGTTTATCACAATTACTTTTCTTTCCAATTGTTATGCTCAGGACAGATGTAACCATGGCAAACAGGCATCTAAGGAAAACCCATTGTGGTCCTGTCCCATCTAAGCACAACGATGAAAGAAACTAAGTGGAGGAGGTGATGCTAAACCAGCTAAGTCATATTAAAGCTCTTGAAATTTATTACACATCCATCTCAAATAGGTCTTCCTAAAGGGGAAATTGATTGATCTTGCTATTTCATTAGAGGTGAAGCATTTCACCCGCACTTTACCTTAAATTTGAGAAATAAATAAGTTACCTTTTCTAATTTGGAGAGTGCAAGTGAATAACAGTCTTTGGCTCGAAACTGCATGAACCTCATATTTGATGGGTGAGTCAATTCAGTGATGATACTGAGACTGGGGAACAACCTGAAAAATGGAATACAACAAGAAACATCCAAATATAGTTAATCATGGGAAGAAAAGCTTAATCATTTCTGATTTTCTTACCCCTTGACTGTTTTAGGACCCAAAAAAAGTCAGTGATCCAAGCAAGTTTGTTAGTTCTGACCATGACCACTGTGAGAAATGGGGGCGTTAATACATGATACTTTTTAATAAGAGTATAGAAACATTTATTCAGCCGTTATGGAGCAGTGGTAGTGTCCTGCCTCTGAGCAAGGAGATCTAGGTTGAAGTCCCACCTGCTCCAGAGGTGTCTAATGACATCTCTGAAAATGTTTAGCAAATATCTAGCAACACTTATTAAGAATGGATAAGCATAGCGTAACACCTCTTCAGCAGAAAAGCTAATTTCTTTTTCTGGAAATATACATAAAACTGACCCCTGGAAGTGTTAAGCTCTCTTGGTTTCCATATTGACACTCATAGATTGGGAGGATGGCATCCTATGAATCTCCTTATCTGGGGAGCTGTTTAGAATGGGTCTGGAAATGACCCTCAGCATGACTAAAACTATAAAGCTGATCTTGAGCTGGGAGATGGTCAGGGAGGAATGTGGCCATGATAATATTTTGGGTACCTGTCTTATATAGACTGGTTAGAAAAGTTCAAGCAAATGGTTGACATGAAGTAGATTAGGATTAAAATAATCGAGATAGTAAGAACTGCCGATGCTGGAATCTGAGATAACAGTGTGGAGCTGGAGGAACACAGCAGGCCAGGCAGCATCAGAGGAGCAGGAAAGCTGACGTTTCGGGTCAAGACCCTTCTTCAGAAATGGGAGAGGGGTAAGGGAGCTCCAAAATAAATTGAGAGAGGTGGGGTGGGGCTGGGGAAGGTAGGTGGAATGGCGATAGGTGAGTGCAGGTAGGCAGTGGTGGGGATTGGTCAGGGAGGTGGGAGGAGCGGATAGGTGGGAGAGAAGATAGACAGGTTGTGTCAGGTCAAGGAGGCGGGGATGAGAGGGAGGGTTGGTCATGGGATGAGGCCGGAGGTGGGGAGATGTTGAAACCAGCAAAGTCATTTTACCAGTTTCAAAGTCTCCCCACCCCCAGCCTCATCGCATGACCAACCCTCCCTCCCACCTCTCTAACCAATCCCCACCACTGCCTATCTGCACTCACCTATCACCATCCCACCTACCTCCCCCAGCCCCACCTGTTCTCTCTCTATTTATTTCCCAGCTCCCTTCCCCCTCCTCCATTCTTAAAATGAATGAATAGGTTCTCAGAGACAGAGGGGCAGTCCTCAATAGGCAGTCACCTTCATCAGATTATGGAGGCACCTACGTTGGACTGGGGTGGACAAGGTCAGAAATCACACAACACCAGGTTATAGTCCAATAGGTTGATTTGAAAACACAAGCTTTTGGAGTCTTGCTCCTTTTTCAGGTGTTAGTGAGAGGGGTAGTATCAGACACAGAATTTATAAGTAAAAGATCAAAGGCTCTCACCACTTATAGGATGTACTAAACAAACCTAAGATGTTGTTAAATCTTTAATCAGTTAGAAGGTTTTAATTGATTAATATGTACATGTAAATTCCCTAATTCCTTTGAAGTCACTGTCCTGAGAAAACAGGACAGGTAGAAGAAGATCCAAGAGATTGGATACCTACAGTTCAGCTGGAGAAGTGAATGGATCATGAGCTGTTATCATTGACACTGTGTACCAACTGACCATTCGCCTTCTGGTATCAGTGAATCACTCCCACCTTTCGTAGGTTGTAGTCGCATCCTACCTCATAACTGAACCATTGCTTCTTTGTAAACTTAAACAAATAACTCAAAATTACTTACAAAGTTGATTCTGAGCTTTCTGTGGCTCCCAAACCCTGCATCTTACTCTACCCCAGCTCTGAGGGCTAAGATGTGGCCGGTGATGATGATAAATGAAATCTCCAGGAAGGCTGACAAATTGACCACGTGTTTTCTTGTGAAGTGGAACGTGAGAGTGACCTTATGGTCTGACTACAGTTATGACAATGACTACAGCCTACCACTGAAGATGTGGTAAACAACAACTGGTTCCTCGTGGAAAGATAATCAATATTACAACATATCTCTGTGATTCTGCTATCCGAGGGGACGTCCTGAGAAAGATGTCAATGGCAGAACTAAAACAACATGAAGAACTGCTTCACTTGAACATCCATTGAATTAATTTTCTGAAGCTGAAATGTTTGATTTCTATTTCAAATCGAAACACCGTTTGAGTGCATTTTTTTTCCGACGTTAAACAGAATACTATTGCCACAAAAATAAAAGTTTGCAATGACACAGTGATTTAATTCCTGCCTCTCCTCCTGCCAGAGGAGCAGGAGTAGGCTGTTCGGCCCCTTGAGCATGTTCTACCATTCAATAAGTTCATGGCTGATCTAATGACTCAACCCTGTCCACGTCCAATATCCTTTCACCCCGCCTTGCTTATCATAAATCTATCAACCGTTGCCTTAAAAAAATCTGGGCTCTGCTTCCCCTGCCTTTTGTGGATGAAAATGTATCAGACAAAACAACAGTGCGTCAGTGCAAGAGATAAAATTGGAACATTAGTAACACTCAAACAGAAGTGTCAAGTGGATGATCCATCTCAGCCTCCTTCAGAGGTCCCCAGAATCATAGATACCAGTCTTCAGGTGATTCAACAAACTCCATGTCATAACAAGAAACAGATGAAAGGATTGGTAATTGCAAAGCTATGGGCCCTGACAACATTCCAGCGATAGTACTGAAGACGTGTGCTCCAAAACTTGCTGCTCCCCTCGCCAAGCTGTTCCAGTAACAACACTGGCATCTACCTGACAATATGGTATGTCCTGTACACAAAAAGCTGGACAAATCCAACCCGGCCAATTATTGCCCCATCCGTCTATCCTCGATCATCAGGAAAATGATGGAAGGTGCCTCAATAGTGCTATCAAGCTGCACCTACTCAGTAATAACCTGCTCAGTGATGCCCAGTTTGGGTTCCGCCAGGGCCACTCAGCTCCTGATCTCATTACAGCCTTGGTTCAAACATGGACAAAAGAGCTGAATTCCAGAGGTGAGGCGAGTGACAGACCTTGTCACTAAGGCCACATTTGACACAGTGCAGCATCGTGAGCCCAAGATAAACTGGAATCAATGGGAATCAGGGGCAAACTCACTGCTTGTTGGAGTCATACTTGACACATAGGAAGATGGTCGTGTTTGTTGGAGGTCAGTCATCTCAGCTCCAGGACATCTCTGCAGGAGTCACTTAGGAGAGTGACCTAGGCCCAACTATCTTCAACTGCTTCATCAATGACCTTCCCTCCATCATAAAGTCAGGAGTGGGAATGTTCACTGATGACTGCACAATGTTCAGCACCATTCACGATTCCTCACATACTGAAGCAATCCGTGTCCAAATGCAACAAGATTTGGACAATATCAAGGCTTGGGCTGACAGGTGGCAAGTAACATTCATGCCACACAAATGCCAGGCTATGACCATTTCCAACAAGAGACAATCTAACCATCTCATGTTGACATTCAGTGGTGTTTCCATCACTGAATATCCCATTATGAACATCCTGGAGATTATCACAGGCCAGAAACTGAACTGGATTGGCCATGTAAATACAGTAGCTCAAGAACAGGTCAGAGACTTGGAATCCTGTTATGAGTAACTCACCTCCTGACTCCCCAAAGCCTGTCCACAATCTACAAGGCACAAGTCAGATGTATGATGGAATACTCCCCACTTGCCTGGATGGGTGCAGTTCCAACAACTCTCGAGAAGCTTGACACCATCCAGGACAAAGCAGCCCACTTGATTGGCACCACATCCACAAGCATCCACTCCCTCCACCACTGACACTCAGCAACAGCAGTGCATACGATCTACAAGATGCACTGCAGAATTCCACTAAGGCTCCTCCAACAGCACCTTCCAAACCAGCGACCACTACCATCCGGAAGGACAAGGGCAGCGGATATATGGGGACACCATCATCTGCAAGTTCCCCTCCAAGCCACTCACCATCCTGACTTGGGAATGTATCTCCATTCCTTCAGTGTCGCTGGGTCAAAGTCTAGGGACTCCCTCCCTAATGGCTTTGTGTGGGTGTAGCCACAACACATGGATTGCATCAGCTCAAAAAGGCAGCTCACCACCACCTTTGCAAGTGGTAGATAGGGGCAGGCAATAAATGCTGGCCCAGCCCGGTGATGCCATGAAATAATTAAAAAAAACCTGCTCCAGGCTAGCAGGCATTATAAAAATGTGTGTTGCCATGGCAACTCGGACTCCCTGAACGACAGAACAGACACTAAATATTCATCAATATGGAGGGCACAACGGCTCACATTATGTTGATCCAAGAAGCAATTAGACCATATAATGTTTAATATGTTTCTTATTTATTTCCCAGATGACAAACAATAATATTTGTACTCTGCTTTTAAATTATGTGGCGTTTATTTTACTTTTTTGATGTTACCATTTTGAACCAATGGCACCATTGCTCACGAATAGAACTGAACATTCCAGAAAATCCCAAGGGATTCCGACAGCCTCCGAGTTAAAATTCCTTCATCAGAACTCAGATATTAACTCGTTTTATGCCTTTCTGTCTGGGAACCTGCCGCATGTTTCCAACATTTCATGATTTGAACTGAAATTTCCAACGCTCATCTTTTATTTGTCTCCATAAAACGAAGGGTCCTTGACACTAATGACACAGCGAGTAGCTATCAGGGAGGTAGCTCCTCATGTGGAAAGTATATGCAGTAAAAATATCACTGGGAATACATTTCATAAAAATTGTCAATGTTATGCGCTTTTTCTCTTTCTGCATTTTTCCCTCTCACAAAGTTCTCCTGGGAAATGGGTTAACAGAATCTCAGAACCTTTCCCCCAGTCCACTTTCCTCCCCGTGGCAACATACACTTTTATAACGTGTGCTAGCCTGGAGCAGTTTTTTAAAATTTATTCATGGCACATGGGCATCACCGGCTGTGCCAGCATTTATTGCCTGTCCTTAATTACCATTTGAAAAGGTGGTGATGAGCTGCCTTTCTGAGCTGATCCAGTCCACATGCTGTAGCTACACCCACAAATGTGTGTGTACCTGGACCATTTTAGCTTCACTGCTGAGTCAGTTCCAGTCTGTACCAATGGTACGCTTGGCTGACTGGACAGCAATGGGTGAGTGGGTAAAAATCCCTGTTTAATCTCTGTGGATGGATGCCTCTGCCAATGTTCAATTTGTGGCCAACTCGCCATTCAGTCAGGAGGCTGTTGATTCAGGACTCCTCCAGAAATTCGAGCACATGAAGTTTAGTACATGTTGGGAATCCTTTATCTGAAAACCTAAGTTGGTTTTCCGATAAAGGATATTTTCAGTTTTTGGATACTCTTAGGCAGCTTCATAGCACATCTTGTATGCAGACTTCATAATGGACTTATAAACTTAATACTGGGGTCCTGGGGAGAGTTGCCAAAGAGGCCTCGGGGTGCAGGTTCATAGATCCTTGAAGGTGGTGTCACAGGTAGACAGGGTAGTGAAGAAGGCATTTGGTACACTTGCCTTTATTGGCCAGTGCATTGAGTATAGGAGTTGGGAGGTCATGTTGTGGCTGTACAGGACATTGGTTAGGCCACTTTTGGAACACTGCTCTCAATTCTGGTTTCTCTGCTATATGAAAGATGTTGTGAAACTTGAAAGGGGTGCAGAAAAGATTTACAAGGATGTTGCCAGGGTTGGAAGGTTTGAGGCTATAGGAAGAGGCGTGGATAGGCTGGGGCTATTTTCCCTGGAGCGTTGGAGGCTGAGGTGTGACCTTATAGAGGGGCACGGATAGGGTGAATAGATAAGGTATTTTTCTCAGGGTAGGGGAGCCCAAAACTAGAGGGCATAGGTTTGAGGTGAGAGGGGGAAAGATATAAAAGGGACCTAAGGGGCAACTTTTCCACACAGAAGGTGGTGTGTAGGTTGCCAGAGGAAGCGGTGGAGGCTGGTACAATTACAACATTTAAAAGGCATCCGGATGGGTAGTATGAATAGGAAGGGTTTAGAGGGATATGGGCCAAATGTTGGCAAATAGACTAGATTAATTTAGGATATCTGGTTGGCATGGACGAGTTTGACCGAAGGGTCTGTTTCCATGCTGTACATCTCTACGAGTCAATGGTTTGTCAAAACCACATCTTAAGGACTTCACCGTTTTGTCCAGCTCCCACTGCACTCTCACTCCATATCTTAAAAGCAAAATAAATACAGATGCTAACCTTCACTCTGAAAGATGGATTGTCATTGCAGCAAACCATATAGAAATAACCGATTAAAAGGCAAAGACAGTTCCAGGTCCATTTGAACCCTTTGGAAAAACACATTTTTTTGCCCAAACTCACCCAAATGAATTTAAAAGTCAAGTTTGTTTCTAAAGCGCCTATACTCAGCGTGTCTACCGTTCCTTTTGGCTCTGCTTCCGAAAGACCTTTAGTTTGTCGGTCTTTTCGGTTTTTGGATGTACAGATAAAGGACTCCCGGCCTGTACTGAAAAGGTGCTGCACTCTCAGAGGCACATCCTTCAAATGAGATATTAAACTGAGATCTTATCTGCCTGTTCAGGTGAATGTAAAAGAGCCAGTGGCAATCATTTGTAGAAGGAATTCTCTGCAGTTTCCTGGCCAATATTGACCCCTTCAATCAACATCAATAGAACCAGATTATCTGGTCATCATCACATTGCCAATTGCTGTCGACCAATTATGTTAGCATTGTTATCATCTTACAACAGCGACTACCCTTTCAAAAATACTTACTTAATTGTAACATGCTTTGAGACATCCGAAGATCACTGCTAGAAGTTGTTATATCAATGCCAATTTATACAATTTTTACAATGTTAAGAGAAAAGTCTATTTATTTGAGAGACAGGAACCAATTCATTCACAGTTCGGATATCCAGGCTTCTTCTGCAGGAATGAGCTTACCTGAACATTGTTTGAACATTAACAATCGTCTTGGCATCAGCCATGTAATCTTCCTCAGCGCTCATCGTACTCTCTTTGTCCACAACCACCAGGTTATCAGCATAAATAATCCCACACTGCAGTAGATTATCCAGGCTGAGGGATATGCCCGAGGAAACAAAAAGGTAGACACCAAGAGTTAAAATATGCTAACTACCGTCCCAAGATCGCTCCCCCCCACCCCCCAGAGTGACACACCAATCTGACGTGGAAACATTGGCATTCCCTCACTATCACTGTGTCAGAATCCTGGAACTTCCTCCCTAGTGGTAGTGTGAGTGTCCTGAAACTCAATAGGCTGCAGCTGTTCAATAAGATAGTTCACCATCATCTTATCAAGGGCAATTAGGGATGACCTAATAATTGTTGGATTAGCCAATGTTCATACGCCTGTAATGAATAAATAAAAATCACAAGCAGAGGCAGCAAGAAAATGCATCAGTGTGACGAACAGTTCTACTGCAGGTTCCCACCCAACACATAGACCTCCCTTTCCCCTTCAGACACTGACTGAACTCCCTGTTCTTCAGTTCCATTACAGCTTCTGATTTCCAAAGTCTTCCTGCCTCGAGCTCAACAACACCGATGTATCTTAATTTAGCACCTATAACATGGTTAAAAAAAATCCAAAACAATTTGCAGGACCATTACAAAACACAGTTTGACGCCAAAACACACAAGATGAGATATTAGGCCAGATGACTAAAAGCTTGGTTGAAGAAGTAGATTGCGGTCAATGTCTTAAAGGAGGATAGGGACACGAAGAGGAAGGACACTTCAGTGCTTGGGATAAAGGCAACTGAAATCACGGTCACCAATGAAGCTGCAACATTGTTTTAAAACCTTCTAGTTCACTGACCTCCTGGTGTCAGCACATTGGGATAGGAACATTCATGAAAGAAGGGTCTAAAACAAACCTACATTCAACTACATGTAATGGGACTCTACTCCACTGTCTCATACTTAAGAGTGAGTTTCCAAGAAAGAGCAAATGTAATCAAGTAGTTGAGTTCTGGCTTTTTTGATTGCTACAATACATTGATACTTACTTATCAATACATCCCACCATGAAATAAACCATTGGGAAACAGCAGATAGCTTCTAAAAAGTGATTCTCTGGTCTGAAAATAAACATAAAGCTATTATTACGTTGCACAAAAGTCATCCATCCATTGAATCAAAACATTTTCGAATATGTAGAAATATATACTATTGTAACTCTGAGCTAAAATTTTTCACTCTCAGAGACAAGTCTGATGACAGTAAAGGATGGGATTAGAACAGAATACCACTAAAGGCAACAAATATTTTGTCAAGGTGAAGATTGAGGGGATGGGGCCTGATCTGCAACAATGTTTTAGCCTTACATTGGGTTTGTGTACAGGAAAGGCAGGGAAAATAGTAGGAGTGGTGTGGGAGAGTTCGTTGTTGCACTGTTTGTAACATCAGTGTAGTTTGTTCAAAGCCAGGTCCCCATCTGAAAGGTCAATAAATGAACAATTTCTGTAAGCACACAAACTTCCTATGCCAGAGGATTTCTAAGAAACAGGTAAACAACATTATGGTTTATCACTCAATTGAAAAGAGATCCTCTCGGGGCACAGGATAATACCAGTTATTTAACAACAGTATACAGTTAGGATTTTTATTATTACCTAGGATGTTTCATCTGTAAGTTGACATGGAAAGAAGTGTAGTGAAAACATGGTCGTGAAAGTAGGAAAATTAACCAACGAGAGTGATGTAAGAGAGGCAAAAAAATCAGACAAACATGGGGTGGAGGGGGAAAGAAAGTGCAGCAAGCTAGGATGATAATTTCTTGTTTCATGTTTTTGGAATGTGCAGATTCCCGCAAATAGTGATGGAGTTGTCTGCACTTGGGTCTGTGGTGATTTCAGCAATGACCCATCTTCCCCGCACTTTCATAGACAATGGGTAATGTTTAATGGTTAGCAACTACTTAATGTTCCAATGGTGTGTTAATCGGCTGAAGGTGAGACATCTACTCTGCCTCACCCTGGAGGATGTCCCACCTCGGACAGAGAGACTGGCTGGCAGCTCTGTGGTTCCCAACAGCACCACCAGGAGTAGTGGTCACTGCTGGAACTACAAGCAGTCCCGCAAGTCTGAGTGTCGAGTCCACAGGAGCAGGCAGGAAGAGGTTAGGTAGCAGCAATGGGGATAGCCAGGGTGGGGTGGAGGTGAGGGAAGAACAGGTGATAGAGAGGGAAGACCTGGAATCATAGAATCCCTACAGAGTGGAAGCAGGCCATTTGGCCCATTGAGTCCACACTAACCCTCCGAAGAGCATCCCACGCAGCACCATACCACCTCCCTCACCACAACCCTGTACCTGTGACCCTGCATTTCCCATGGCTAATCCACCTAGCCTGCACATCCCTGGATGCCAAGGGCAATTTGGCATGGCCAATCCAACCTAACCTATCAACATTTGGACTGCGGGAGGAAACCGGAGCACCCGGAGGAAACCCACACAGACACAGGGAGAATGTGCAAACTCCACACAGACAGTTGCCCAAGGGTGGAATCGAACTCAAAGCGCTGGTACTGTGAGGCAGCAGTGCTAACCACTGAACCACCATGCCGCTCTCCGTGGGATGGAGGGTCACCTGATCTGGAAGGGCGGGGGGCTAGTGATGGAGGGGATTCTTCTCCCCTCAACACCTCACTCTCATCAGTAACCCTTCCTGCCCAAAGCCCAAAGAGGGTGACATGTTAGGCTCTGCCCCATTCCTGAGTTGGAAGGTCACTGGGGAGTTTTCCTGGTCCCTCTGCCTGCACGCTCACAGTTGGGAGCCCATATCTCATGAGGAATCAAGGACATGGGGAGCGGGCAGGAAAGAGGAGTTGAAACCCAAGATAAGCCATGATTGTATTGAATGGTGCAGTAGGATTAAGGGGCTGAATGGCCTACCCAGCTCCGATTTCTCGTGTAGCCCATTACTATTTGTCCACAAATTATTTATTTGGTGAAATAGTGGTTGAATCTACCAAAAAATGACAGCAAGGGTTTTGTTCTCAGAGAAAACACTCAGTCCTCAATCTTAAGGTGGGTGAGATTTAGGCCATCCCTTCCTCCTACTAAGCTGAACCAATAAAATACTTTCACGAAATAACATAAGCAACCAGACTTTCTAATAACATGGCATGCACAACGTATAAACATTATAGGGCTTCAAAATAGGGCAATATTCTCTTGTTCCTGAAAGAAGGAATGGAAGTATGAGGTGAGTGAATATGTGTATCAATAGCTGTACATCTAGTTCAGAACCACTCAAACAAACATCGTGTTTTGTGCCCGTGATCTGCGGAGTAATAGTATTTATTTTGGCAGAGTGGCATCATCCTCTATCAAGGTTACCTCTTCTCAAACCAGCTGTCATTAATGATAACTGCTTGCTACTTGTCAATTGGTTCACCTAACGGCTGTTTACAATATGAGATTCTTTTATAAGATAGCTTGCTTGACATCAACTAAAGTCTTGGGTCTAAGAAAGGGAACTGAAAATGAATAAATTCCAATAAAATGTGAAGTGTTCTCCAAATAATGGTTGATAAAAGACTTCAGAACTCAGTGGCCAGCAGGATTATTTCATAGCATACAATTAACAATCAGGACCTAAATTCATTCTTTGGTGATATACTGTTTATAGAATCATACTGTGTAGAAAAGGCCCTTTAGCCCACTGAGACTGTCCTGCCAAAACTATACTGAATCTACCCTAGTCCCACTTCCGCTAATCCTGTTGCAGCACTAGCCTTGAACGTTATGACAACTTAAGTGCATATCTCAGTGCTTTTTAAAGGTACTGAGGTTTCCCACCTCAATTCCCACTCCAGGCATTGCATTCCAGATCCCCATCACCCACTGGGAGAAAATATTTTTCCTCAAAACCCCTCTAAACCCCCTGCCTTTCACCTACAAATTGTGTCCTGTTGTATTGACCTTTCAACCAATGGGAATAGCTGCTTTCTATTCATCCTGTCCACGTTCCTCTTAATCTTGTGTGACTCGATCAGGATCTCCCCTCAACTTTCTCTGGTCCAAAGGAAACAACACGAGCTTACCCAGCCTCTCTTCATCGCTAAAGTCCTCCATCCTAGGCAACACCCTGCTGAATCTCCTCTACACCCCATCCAGTGCAATCACATCCTTCCTATAGTATGGGGACCAGAACTGCACACAGTACTCTAGCTACGGCCTAACCAAAGTCCTGCACAGTTCTAATCTAACCTCTCTGCTTTTATAATCTACGCCTCGACTGATAAAGGCAAGTGACCCACACTCATATTCCGCTTGGGAACCCTGCAGCCCAATGGTATCAATGTGGACTTCACAAGTTTCAAAATCTCCCCTCCCCCCACCGCATCCCAAAACCAGTCCAGCTCGTCCCTGCCTCCCCAACCTGTTCTTCCTCCCACCTATCCCCTCCTCCCACCTCAAGCCGCACCTCCATCTCCTACCGACCAACCTCATCCCGCCCCCTTGACCTGTCCGTCCTCCCTGGACTGACCTATCCCCTTCCTAACTCCCTACCTACACTCACCTTTCCTGGCTCCATCCCCGCCTCTTCGACCTGTTTGTTTCCTCTCCACCTATCCTCTCCTCTATCCCTCTTCTATCCGCCTCCCACTCTCTCCCTATTTATTTCGGAACCCCCTTCCCCTCCCCCTTTTCTGATGAAGGGTCTAGGCCCGAAACGTCAGCCTCTCTGCTCCTATGATGCTGCTTGGCCTGCTGTGTTCATCCAGCCCTGCACCTTGTTGTCTCGGATTCTCCAGCATCTGCAGTTCCTACTATCTCTGCCTTCTTAACTATCCTCTTAACCTGCCCTGCCACCTTCATGGATTTGCAGACATTTTTTTTTATTCACTAATGGGATGTGGGCGTTTATTGCCCATCCCTAATTGCTAGAAAGCAGTTACGAGTCAACCACATTGCTGTGGGTCTGGAGTCACATGTAGGCCAGACCAGGTAAGGATCCTTCCCTAAAGGACGTTAGTGAACCAGATGGGCTTTTCCAACAATTGACAATGGGTTCGTGTTCATCGTTAGATTCTTAATTCCAGATATTTATTGAATTCAAACTCCACCACCTGCCATGGTGGGATTCGAACCTGGGTCCACAGAACATTATCTGGGTCTCTGGGTTAACAGTCCAGTGAAAGTACCACTAGGTCATTGCATCCCCAGATCCCTCTGTTTCTTTGAGCCTCATAGCACCCTGCCATTCATTGAGTACTCGCTTGTCTTTTTACTTCTTCCAAAGTGCATTACCTTACCCTTCTCAAGGTTATATTCCATTTACCACTGATCTGACCCATCTGTTTATGTTCTTCTGTCATTGTTGACTAACTGGTGAATGAACTATTGTGTACAATTCTGAGTGGGAGGATTGTCACGCAGTAAGGATGACACATGTGGAAATGACAGAATTCTTTGTAATACTTTCTGTTTGGTTGGAAAATAACCTCAATTGCATTTGCAAGGCTCAAAATAAACCAAGGAAGGGTGCACTCACGGGTTATCGAGCAGCAGCACGATGGGGTTCAGCTCTCTCCGGGACCTGTAATAGGCTCGAAGGGGGACAATAAAATTGTACAGTCCATTGCCCGCTGTCTCCACAGACACAATGATCAGTTTATTCTTGAAGCCATAAGCCTTTGCATCTTCAAAGCTGTTGTGTCTACAGCCCTGAACAGAACAGTTATACAAATGAGGCAGAAACGCTTTCATAAAACCTACACAACAGAACAAAACAAAAACCTAGCGGTAAACATGTTCTAGATCAAATGTTAAATTATGGACCCTCTGTCTTCTGATGTGATGTAAAAAAATCGCATAGCACTATTTTCAGGGGCCGCTTCACCATAATCTAATTGGCTGTAAAGTGTTTTGGGATGATCTGAAAGGTGCTAACAAATAAAAGTTCTTCTTTTAAACAGGATTAATACATTTAGTGTAATGAACATTGCATTCAAGGTGAGTGGGCTTTTGTTTTTCAGTTCTATTGACATTGCACTCCACAACAAACACAGAGCTACCTCTTCCACAACACAGTCACATCACAACAGCACTGTCAGTCTTACCATCTGGTAGATATCACACAATTCTTCCCTAAAAGATTACTCATTGGCATGTCCTGAATGTTCTTGATTTCAGAGAACTGTTATCTGTGACACCACGGATTCTTTTGAACGGTTTCCAGATGAAGTTTTATAACAGACATATGTGGGAGACATCTTTGATCGAATAACTATTCTCTCACTCTCAACAAGAGACTTGGCTCATATAAAACTAGTGCTGACTGACAGGTAAACTTCTATCTCTTTTTGCCAGATGGTAGGGATCCGGAGTGAAGTAACTTTTGGACTGTCTTGGCTTGCTTCCAGTTATAACATTTCTTTGCTCTCAGACTGCAGTCTCTCTTCAATCACCTTAAAAAAAATTAATGTTGTTCGATGATAAGAAAGGAAAATAATAGGAATCTACAATTACGGCATCTCTCAGCTTCTTGTAATTTTTTTTTAAGCATATTTGTTCCCAGGGTGTGGGTGCCACTAACCAGGCCATCATTTGTCGTCTGTCTCCAATTGCCCTTGTGACGATGGTAAGAGTGTAATGGGACCTCCAGCAGCAGATGGTGATAGTGAGGGAGGGCACCGAGCCGGGGAGATTGGGCAATTGTGGCAGTACCTCCGGCAGTAGGTGGCAATGGAAAGAGAGGGCAAATGGAGCAGTTGAACAGAATCTCTGTGGAGAAAGGGTTGACTTTGTCAGAAGTTGGTGGGGAGGGATGCAGACAGATGAAAGGAATTCTCATCCCATTATGACTCACAGGCTCATTTCCTGTACATATTGTAAATACTTTCATCCTTAATTTCACACTTCCTGTTTGTAATGTATTGATGCAGCAGGACAGAAAAAAAATACCCTGCTTCATGATTTTTACGCCATCTGTGTCTTCAAATCTCATTTTACAATAGAATCATATAAAGTGTACAGCACAAAGGGAGGCCACTTGGCCCATCATATCTGTGTTGGATGAAAGGTGAGACACCCAGCCTAATCCCATTTTCCAGCATTTAGTTTGTAGCCCTGCAGGATATGGCTCTTGAAACACCTATCCGGATCCTTTTTAAATGAGTTGTAGATTTCAGTCTCTACTTCTCTTTCAAGCGTCTTTCAGTAATCCATGGGGTTTCTGCTACACTCACAATATTATTAGAAAGAGAGTTGAAAGATTTTGACCCAGTAATAGCAAAGGAGCAGCAATGTAGTTCTAAGTCACCTCGGTGTATGATTTGAAAGGAAACTTGCAAAATGTGCTGTTCTCTTCCATCTGCTGCTTCTTTGTTCTTGGTGAAGGAGATTGTGTGCTTGGAAGGTGCATGAATGGGTGAGTGAGTTGGTGGGGTGGGTGAGTGAGTTGGCAAGATGGGTAGGTGGGTTGGCGAGATGGTTGGGTGAGTTGACAAGGAGGTAGTTGAGTTGAGGCGGCAGCTGTCAGAGCAAAAGGTAGGGTGATTGGCCTGAGTGAGGAGTATGGTTGGGTTGGGAAGGGTACCTGGGTTGGGAGATAAGTTGGGTCTTGGGGGTTGATTGGGGTGTGGCAGGATGGGGATGGGGATGGGGTTGGTTGGGCTAATCAACTCAGTTACATTGTCTAATGTCTGAATTCAACCACATATTGACCAATGTAACATTTCCTGGGTAAGTATGCAGTTAGATGTCACATCACTGAAACTGATCTCAGTGTTCGTGTGTGCAGAGGGCCCTGGGAGGTGGAAATCAGCCTAGTAAAAGTTTAAACATCCCAGACAATTCACGTACCTCTGGACATCCCTGACACTCACTCCCACTTACGATCCAACAAACTACCGTAAGATTCTGGCCTGACTTTTCCCAAATAGGAAGCTACTTATCTGTTTGACTGACTTGGGCCTAGATATAGAAATATTTTGAGAAGTTAAGAACCCATAATCCTGGGCAGTGTGGCTGTCTTGAGGATAAACGGACACTCTGTACTACCCTGCAATTACTCTGCAGCAATTTGTGTCTGGTTATCCTATGAGCAATGAAAACAATCTACTTTGTCTGCTAAGTGCTTGTAAGTTACTTACCTTGTCTAATCGGAGACAGCAGAATGGAGCCTTCACAGGTAAAAGGTGGCAGAGAGTTGGAGAACTTCCAATGTAGGGAGAATTGGGAGGATATCCTTTCACATACCTGGATACAAACAGAATACATGGCTAAGTTCATGGCAACACAATCTGAAATGGTCAGGAATGTTTCCTCTGTTCATTTTCATGGAATTGCAAATCTTACTTGGGGGTTAAAAATACAGCCATTGGGCTGATGACCTGTCACTTCAAGCTGAAGAGAAATTGTGTAATGGACCAATTCATTACTGCCTGTAGGCCTTCAGTAAAGTTAAAAATTCCACCCTTTACAAAAGACATGATCACAATGCACACAGATAGGGCTGAGAGTTGATTTAATTACTGCAATGTCTTGTCACTGAAGGATGAAATTACCATTTTGTGCAGGTTTTGTTTCATTCATTCATGAGATGAGGGTGTCACTGGCTAGGCCAGCATTTATTACCCATCCCTAATTGCCCATGGGGTAGTTAAGAGTTAACCACTTTGCCAAGAATCTGGAGTACATGTAGGCCAGACCAGATTAGGATGGCAATTTCCTTCCCTGAGGGACATTAATGAACTAGGTACATTTTTCATGGCCATAATTAGATTTTTAATTTCAGATTTTTGTTGAATTCATACTCCACCATCTGCCGTGTCAGGATTTGAATCCAGGTCCCCAGGACATTACCTGGGTCTCCAGATTAATAATCTCATGATAATATCATTAAGCCATCACCTCCCCCTGTATGTGATGAATCAAACTAACCTTTACATTTGAAACTATAAGAGGCACAAATCTCTCCATGACAACGTTACTGTTCAAACTCAAGCAACGTTTTCCATTGGAAATTGTGGATCCAATTCTCAGTCTAGGAACTAATTGTATAACTAGGCTGACACTTCATTGTGAGCCTGAGGAAGTGTGGTGTTCTTGAAGGTGCTGCCTTTCAGAATAGTCAAAGCAAGGCCTCCCAAAAAAAGTAAGATTTGCATTTATATAGCACTTTTCACAACCACCTAACACGTCAAAGCATTCTATAGTCAATTAAATATCTCCAGAGATTATTGTAAAGTAGGTAATACAGCTGCTATTTTGCATACAGTGAGGTTTTAAAAAAAAGTCATTTGTGGCATGTGGGTTTTGCTGACTAGCCCAGCATTTATTACCCTTGAGAAGGTGATGGTGAGTTGTCTTTTTGAACCACTATAGTTCATGGCGTGTAGTTGGCCCCACAACGCTGTTAGGGAGGGAATCACAGCAGTGTGACCCAGTGACGATGAAGGAACAGTGACATATTTCCAAGTAACAATGGTATGTGGCTTGGAGGGGAACTTGCAGATGGTGATGTTATGATGGTCCCATGCATCTACTACCCTTACAATGACTCAGTGGTTAGCACTGCTGCCTCACAGTGCCAGGGACCCGGGTTCAATTCCACCCTCGGGCAACTGTCTGTGTGGAGTTTGCGCATTCTCCCCATGTCTGTGTGGGTTTTCTCCGGGTGCTCCGGTTTCCTCCCACAGTCCACAGTTGTGCAGGTTAGGTGGATTGGCCATGGGAAATTGTCCTGTGGAGGCTAGGTGGATTAGCCATTGGTAAGTGTGTGGTTATGGGTATAGACTCGGTGGACCAAATGGCCTCTTTTCACACTGTAGGGATTCTAGATGGCGGAAGGTGTTGTCAAAAGAGCTGTACCTTGAATCAAAATGCAATAATGACAGATAATCTTATTTTGTTTGAGCTGTTGATTGAGAGGTAAATATTAGCCAGGTCATGGGGGAATAATGCTCCTTCAAAATAATGCTGTGGGATTCTTTACATCCGTCCAAGCAGACAAATTGACCCTTGGTCTAGTGTTCATCTGAACCACAGCACCATCCCTCACAAAGTACCCCTATGAATGTAATTTGTTCTGTTCACATTTAGAAGCGGGGCTTGAATTCAGCACCTATGACCCTGACGCTAGAGATCTACCAGGTGTGCCATAATTAAGTATGTTAAAAGACCTCATGGCCGTCTTTCAAAGAACAGCTAAAGGGTTTCACCTCAGCATCCTGCCTAATATCTACCTTCAACCAACATCCCAGAAAACAAAAACCAAAAGAACTGCAGATGCTGTAAATCAGGAACAAAAACAAAGTTGCTGGAAAAGCTCAGCAGGTCTGGCAGTATCTGTGAAGGAGAAAACAGAGTTAACGTTTCGGGTCCGGTGACTCTTCCTCAGAACTCAGCTTTTTTTTATCCGAGGAAACAAACTGTCCGGCCATCATTACATCCTGGGTTAACATTTCAGGTCCAGTAACCCTTCTTCAGAACAGGTCACTGGACCCGAACATTAACTCTGATTTCTGAATGCTGCCAGACCTTACTGAGTTTTTCCAGACAAATTGACCCTTGGTCTAGTGTTCATCTGAACCACAGCACCATCCCTCACAAAGTACCCCTATGATTGTAACTTGTTCTGTTCACATTTAGAAGCGGGGCTTGAATTCAGCACCTATGA